AGAAAAATAACTATATTATTTTATCCTAGATCGGTGTAGAATAAAACAATATGCTGAGTTTAAATAGCATGTATACCCGTGAATGTGTAGATTTCACTGTTATTTGTATCATAGTCTATTATAATTTGTATTAATATTTTATATAATGTTATATATATATGTATATATTAGTAATTTAGTTTTTGCCATTTGTAGTACAGTAGTTTTTGTTTTTTATATACTGTATGTCTATAGAGTTTTTATGCATCTTTATTTCAGTTCTTGTTTGAGTTACTTTAGTATATCAAATATTGAAAAATGAAATGAAATGAAAATGTTGCCTTGACAACTAGAAGAAATTATTTTCTAATATTTTATTTCATTTCAGGTCATGTTTATTTCAAGCAATTGTTTTATGCTTTTAGTATTAGTTTTTAGTTAACTATAATAACCCTATAATGGACCCTTTTCACAAGACTGTGATGACGCTTTTAACGGTCATCAGCATCGTAAATCCTCTAAAGTTTTTCATATTTGTATTTTTTTTTAAATGTATGTACATTTATAACACTATTCTTTGTATTATATCACCTTTGCATCAAATTACAAAAAAACAGTTAACGCTAATGCTGTGTTTTTAATGCAGCGTCTCTGGGAGGCTCTCTCTTTGACTGCCGTTATCAGTCTCTCTCAATTTTTTTCCTTTTATTGAAAGTCACGAAAACACTATTGTGGAGTTTTTCTTTTGCTATTTGAGCAAATGGGAATGCAAAAAATATATATCTGTGGTACTCTCCCATTCACTGCTCTTCAAGTTAACCCAACTATGACGACTTCCGCTGCCGAGAAACCCGGAAATGTGAAAAAGGTCCATAATGTGTTTCAGCGTCTGTTCGTCAGCATGCGATCGTTTCTAGTCCAGTGCGCACGGCTGTGTCCTTCTGACAGCAAATGGGCGAGAGCCACACAAACACACGCCAGCAGTGAAAACTCAACCAGCCTTTCCAGAATCAGTCCATCCGTCTCCATAACAGAGCATTTCAAATGTGGATGTGATGTGAGTTAGCGGCTGGATCTGACTGGCAGGCGGCTGATAACATGTCAGCTTACAGTCGGGTAGAGAGACGAGCGCGTGCTAATCCCCATCCTGACTGATGCGTTAGCGTTACTGGGAAAACCTCCCGCACACGCAGACGTATGGGCCTCGTCACGCCTCATTTCTCAAGACAGCAGCTCCTCCCACCTCTTTAGACCCCGGATACCGGCCAGTTACTCCAGATCTTTAT